AATTTATTTGTTCTCTAGTAGTCACTGCATTCGTTACACAAGGAATCCATTACAGCAGGAATCAAGAAGTAAGAGGAAGGCGATCGTTGATTTCCTGACGTACCTTTATCAGTCATTAAGCGGTAAAATTTGTTTGCTCAGCTGGTATGGAGCTCTTTTAAGCAATTTGCGAAAGAATTCCTAGACTGCGAGCCTTGAACTTCGTTCTGGTTCGTCAGAAGTGTGGTCGTCCACCAAAGGTTCTACAAAGTGGTTGACTTATTTAAACGATTGAAACATTTTTTAGTTGCAGTACGAGTACCTCCATTTCAAGCAAAAGTAGAAAACAGACAATTTTTCAAAGTGAACCGAAATATCTATGCACTTGATACCTACCGAATTAACAAGATACCGCTCTCAAGAGCGGGGAAGATCGTTACCTTTCGCTTCATCTACGTTCAATAATGAGCAGTCCATTTTCTATGCACGTGAAAGAACACTCTACTTTTTGCAAAACTCTGAACCGCAGGTGTCAACGGTGGGGAATGAACGCGTTATTACCTTTTACGGGGGTAACGCATTTACTATCACATCTTGTAGGTCCTTCATTTTTTAGCTCCCGAAAAAGGTAATAGCGCATTTGTTTCCCACCGTTGACACCCACGGTCCGGAGTTTTACAAATATCTCAGCACCATTGTGGTTGTATCACGCATGATACCCTGCCGTGAAAAATTTTAATAGGCAGTAAATAAAAAGTAAACTCTACTTTTTTATATCTGCTAAACATTGATGAAAAAGCGTGTTGGTTCACCACAGGTAGTACTTTCTTCATAAAACTTTCTCTCTCAGAGTTCATTTTCGAATTTGAAGAGGACGACAACCAAATTCACATGACTTTGCTTTTCATATTTTTATTCCTCATGTATGAAGTAGTGATAAATACTCACAGAAAATAGAACGCACAACGGTGTTTCCACAATGGCTGGAGTTCTGCGAGTCGGCGCGCCAGCTGGTCGACACCGTTGGCGGGCGCACCCCTTTACGGCCACACTCCGCCGCGCATCCAGTTTCGGCGATCCTTATTCTTTCGCTGTTATTCTTAAGCGAACGCTTGTTGTCTGTTAATGAAAGCGAGCTCTGCATTGCATTGCCTTTCGTAATTATTGTTCTCTCATCTCTCTTCTCCCATTCATTGTACTCCTCTTTCACTTCATTTTTCTGCCTTCCTGCCCTATTCTTCAGTAATCTTATCTTTTCGTTCTCTTTTTCCCATAGTTTTCTTCTTATATACTTCTTTTTTCTGCTTTTACATTTTGGCATTCTATCATTTTTTTCCTCGTCTTCAATACCTAAAGTGACCATAATTATTCTCCAAAACGGAGTTTCTGATTCAAGTTTTCTCATAGTTACGTCATATTCGCTTGCAGTCCTTCCTGAATGGGCGCGATAGGCGTCAGCACTGAACCATTTTTCTCTCAGCAGAGTCGAAAACTACGGCGATGGGCGTGATATTTGCTTCTCTTTCGAGAACTATCGGGTCTGGTACATACTCCGTAGTTGTGTGTTGAGAATTTCGTGTTGATTTTATGATGTAGCATTCAAAGAGGCTCTTCCATTTGTTACAAGGCGAACAGTTTCCGTGCTTCTTTTATCTTTAATTTTCTCATAGATTTAGAAACAAAGCTCAGCAGAATACATGATTAAATCTAGAATTTTCTTTTGAGTTCCTAATATTTAAGGAATTTTCTTCTGCTATTCGTCAAAAACAAAAAAGGAAAGGTGAACTAAAAGAACGTGTTCTGAGCGTTAAATGTTCAAATGTTCAAGATTTGAAGATGCGTGTAAAATCTATTAATATAAATGTTTTTGGTGCAACACCGGTTAGGGCTGACTGTAGATTCCACATACTGAATTAAAATTCTATGAGATCGGACTTTGAACTGGTGATGCAGGCTGATGATGCCAATAATTCTTAGCAAACACTTCCTGAAATAAAGGCCTTTGAAACGTTTACCTTTTCAAGATAAAACGTAGCACTTGAAGATGTATTACGATGCTTTAGTGCTTCCATTGCGTCATATTGGCACACAAAGACGGTCACGATGATTTTTTGGTACTCGGACTCGAGAAGGGCGCGTGTGGTGCAGTGGTCGGAGGCACCGTGCAACACATATGTGGAATTGATCCTCGCGCCAATGGCCCACGAAGCTTTCCATCCCTCGGTTGGTAAATTGGTACCAGACTTGTCCGGGACGATGGCAGCACCGCCTCGATGCAACGGTAGGCCACTGCGAGTCATTATAAAGTCCAGATATAGATTTAATCACCTCCAAACGATGCTTAATGAAGTAGTATGCACGGCGCATCCCTCAGGGATTGATCGACGGCAAGAGCTTTATCTTTTTTTTTACTTATTTTACTTGAGACACCAAGATCCTAAGTCGTTCGTGACAATAAAGCCCACGCGTGCGTTAAAGGTAGCCCATAATGTTTCGCTTTTAAAATCCAAACATATATATCTCTGTTGGGAGAGGGGCTAGTTCGGTGGTAGGGTGGTAGCGCATCTTACTTTTTAATAGATGAAAAATAATTAAATAGATGAAAAACAACATCTCTGTTTATAGGAAACGCTATTATTTTAAATAAAGCCACTGGTATCTAAGCACCCTTGCCAACACGGGCTAACCCTTCATCAGTTCTAACTCCATCAAGATGAAATGCTGGGTTTCCTGGACCCATCTATCGTTTCCTTACGCGCTTCTGACACACATCTCCAACAGAAGAGTGTTTGAGGAGGCGGAGTTTCAACTGGCCACACACAATGCTGCTTCCAAATGCGTTTTGATTTTTGCCACAGCTGCTATATTGCAAAATTTTGATAGGAGTGTTTATTAGGTTGAAACAGAAAATTCAGATAAAAATAACACTTTAGGAAAGGTATGTATGTCAATGAGTTCGTGAAACGCCGAAGTTTTCAAGTACCCTAGTTATCTAAAAATTACCGTCCGTTATTTGGAAACCCGCACGGCCGTTAATAATCGAAAAAAAAGCTGTAGCGGCGGGATTGTAGGCGCAACTTTCGTTTCATCTTTGTTTGACGAGTTTTCCTTTCAATCGATAATGGTTATAAATAGATGTGTATATGCATGTAGGTGCATGTATAGATTTTATTAATTAGCTTCGGCAGTGGTTGAGGATTTTACCTTTTTTATGAATGCCATTGAATACCGGTCGTATCGATTCTAACTGGAGTGCTAGGACAACTGTGGTAGAGCATTCCTGTACGGATTTGGAAGAGTGGGTTCAGGTGAGGAAAAGTCTAGTACGAATTCTTCGATCCAGGAGTGATGACAGTCTTGGTGAATCCAATGTGGGGTCGAACTAGCACCGTGCACGTGATGAATGGCACCACTACCACCGCGCTACTCACTTCTCCCACATGTGCTTAGAAAAACGAGCGAATAATATTATAATACCGGTCTGACATTAGCAGGAGCATGCAAAAGCATTGCCTCTTTGCGTCGCAAGCGTTAATGCAAACGAGTATTCATTGGCAACTCTGGTTTTTCTGTTTTCTGGAGGAAATTGATGCTTCCTTCTAAGGCCATGGCAGTTTTTACCCGTTACAAAAGAAAACGATGCTGTCGTTATCGGCAGTGAAGTTGGAAGGGATATTCGTTCGTGTAACACCAGTGTAGCTTTGTCAGAGTTCATCGAATTTCACATAACATCTGACAATTCGTTGGTGCTTCCAGGAGCTCCTTATCGCACATACAGTCGATACTCATCTTCCATACAGGCGCTGGGTGCCGCCATTTTGGAATTCGCAAAATACTCGTCAGTGAAAGAGCAGTAGACGACTGCCACTTCCCACATTTTCAGCACTCGAAAAACCACATTGGAATAGGCCTTGGTGCGAGTCATCAGTGAACAAATAAACTATTCATTTTATGAACTTTTCAGCCACCAGTCGCTACCACTCCCATCTAAAATGGAACGGAAGGTGACGAAACAGATATGTCATTGCTTGGGTGGAACGCTTTCTTTCTCTCAGATAAATTCGTTTAAATGTTAATGATCAAAAGTCGTAGATATCACCAGAAATAAAAAAGTAGAAAGTTACATAATAATGCATTCATCGTTGATCAATGCCTGACAGATTCATCATGCATTTTTCCCTTCCTCATGCATCGTAGAGGTGATTAAAAATATTTTTGAGTGACTTGCGTGTCCTATCGATGTACCAAGTCAGTGATGGTGCCTTCCCAGACAAGGCTGGTGCTAGTTTCCTGGCAGCGACGTGGAATTGAACCAAAACCAAAGATCAATCTCGTGTGTATTGCAGGGCACCTATAACCACCACGAAATGCGTTTCTCAAACTTCATTGTATTAGGTATTAATGAGGTTGTATGAGCAATAAAGGAAAGATTTAAGCCGACCAATAACGGGCTAAGTGATGCACCGCAGATATCGATGCAGTGGCTCTAGCTGTGATTATAGTGACTCGATAGGAAGTCACACTATCTACGTCTTAGCTTTAATGACCAGAGCTATTTCTACCTTATAAATGAATTCGATCTGATTGCTCAAAACGTATTAACGTATGTGGGAAAAATGTTGCTTTTAAGTACATCGACTTCTATTGATTGCTTCCTCTTCCAAATTTTTGCTATATGAACATTGTTATAGTCAAGCCGTTACGATGCTCTCGTTTCGCATTATGCATTCATCTTCTCAGTTCCTACATATTAATCCTGTTTCTATCTCATTTCTACGACTCGATCTCATTCCGTTGCCAGTCGTCCGGCCGGCAGCCGCCGAATGTGCAGTTTTTGCCGGTTCTTGATGGCACAACCGTTCAAGCCTCGACACATCGTATAACAGTCATTGATTCACTCGCTTCCCACTGACTGCTGCTTTTCGCTGTGTCCTCGGTCCTCCTCTGTCGCTTTTCAATTTCGAAAGCTAAACATGTCCGTTAATGATGACGATAGTGTAGACGTGACGGCTCACTGTGATATGGTCGCGATGAAGGTTCGTGACGTGCCAAATCGACTCGTCATCGGTCCCGAGGAACCAGCGGGTAATGCGATCACAGCCTTTGAAACGTTTATCCGTTATCCATATTTTGGAACATATTTCTGGCATTTGCACTTATTGAGTGCTGAAATTTGGTATTACGCTTCAAAGAACGAAAATGTAACAAGTATGCGTCACTGCATTCGATCCTTGAATATAGGGCTGGAAAAATAGAACAATTCTAGTAGTTGGTTTTTTCGTAATGCCTAATTGATTTGAAGGTCTAACGATATGCAGGTTAGTAGAAATTCACGTAAGCAAGATGGATTGTGAAAAAACAACTGTGACGCTGCAGCAGCGGCGCCACCATCCAGAATACGGTCGCATCTTCGATTAAACTAATTCTGGTGATGAAGTTTTCTAACAAATAAAAAGTCGATTGTTAGAGATTGCTCAGCTAAGCAGACGCTGTTGAAGCTTATTACCATGAGGGAATTTAGAGAGCACTAATGAGTCGTAGTTTGAAGAGCGGTTTATTAATTGTCTGACTGCTACGAAGATTTATAACTTGTATTTCACATGATACCCTGCCACGAAAAATGAAGGGCAGTAAATAGAGGTTAAAACTTTGTGATCTAGGCTACAGCTTCGGCTTAAGCTTAGCTTCCGTTCAGTGTCGATTTGTATTCATCAGATGGTTTCCGTCGACGGGTGATTGATGATAGCACCGTTAAGGTAAAAGATTGGCCAAGAGGCAAACAATGGGCCTCGGCTATCGTAGTAGATTAGACGTGATTTTCCTGAAAATGTAGTCGCGGGTTCGAAGCGCAACGGAGACTTCGGGTTTTGCTCATATCTAAGCATCCTTGTGATTGTATTTCACATTGTACCCTGTCATAAAAAAGAATAGGTAGTAAATAAAAGATAAAAATTATGACTGTCTTGATAAATGGTGGTGAGCAGGTGTTCAGAATTAGAAGACACGAGAACTGTTCAATGATGATGATATATTTGTAGGCATGGATTGCTTCGCTGACGACCGAGATGCGCTCAACGATTTCGCCAAGTATTACAATAATGCCCATCTCAGCGATGTCAACGTCATCGTTGGGGACGAAAAGTGTGTTTTTTGACATCTGTTAATCTTTGAAGGCGAAGTGCTGAGCAACAACTGGTGCCGTAGCGATCATTTCCCACAATATTTTGCTGGTTCTCACTCAGAGAAAAGTGCACGCCATGTGGCGCTAAGGCGGAAGGAGAATTGCCATATTGATTAAGAGAATTGGCTCTTTTCAGTTTTGCTGCCCATCGTCTCATCTTGGCGAAGAATAGTGAGGTATTTGATCGTATGCTAAGCCAACGATGGAATGGCGAAAGGAAGGTGGTGTAGTTTCACGGTGAAATTGTTCAAAATTTTATCGATCTAGTTTGAATCGATTATATTTGCCAATTTGAAAAATTAAGAAGTATGCTTATCTTGTGATGATAAATAATTCTGCAAGAAAGCATCTAGCAAATGAAACAGCTCGTGTTACTTCTTTCGGGCAGTTCTTGACAATGAAAAGGAGTCCTGGAAAGGAAAATGGGGTATTAAATATTTAGCTTTCCAGTTATATTGGTAAAATGAACCTGTTCGACGGAGTGCAGAAAGGTATCTTTTTTCAAAAGCAAGGATTAAAACAGTTTTATTCCAGGAGTTTGTGAGCGAAGGCTTTCTTCTTTTTTCTTTCTTCTTCTCCTCTTTTTCGTCTTTCTGAAACTCATGAAGACGAGATGTGTAAGTATTCAAATTACTAAGCATCGATATACTATATACTTAAATACTTAGATATCTCGTCTTTATGAGTTTGCGGTTCCTTCATTTCTTCTTCCATCCGATTGTTTGCTTTGCCACTGTCACACATATATGGGTGGGGCTCATGTGGGTGATGGTATGCCGTTCATGGATGTATGGCCTTCGCTTCTCACTCTCACATTGAATGCAGATCGACTGTCGTTCTCCCTCATAATCTCAGGCAATAGTGCTAGGGCATTTCCAAGTTTTCATCGCTGTAAGCTCTTGTAAAGTGGAGAAAGATTTGTCTCTTTGCGGGTAAAATTTTTTCAGGAGCACATCGATTGATTCGGTTAGTCAGCTGACGATCAGAGGCTATCTAATTGCCCAATTCAGTAGATTACGAGGATGTGGAAATTTCAAACGTAGACGAGTAAACTCGTTTAGTGCAGTGTCAGCAATAAATAGTCACAGCACCCTTGTATGATGTATTGGTTTTTTAGTCAAATATATTCCATTGTTTGCACAACCCGCCTTTTCATAGCGCGTACTCAACACAAAAGATGTGGGGCCGCTAGACTATCAATAGAACATCGTTATAACATACTTTTTCCAGTTATGTAGTCTAAATAAAATTATCTGATGGATTTAGAATACTGAGGATCTGCTCGTAGAATGATGTATTTTTGAATAGAAGCAGCTTTTAGATCTCCAATACCGCTGACATCAGCGAATCAGCCACTTTTGAATGAGGACCATCGAACAAAGTACTAATCAGTATATTTTGCTGTTAAGGATCTCGAGATTGTTGAGGACGCTCCGTGTCAGAAGGTGTTTCCAGCGTTCCTTCGATTTCTCTACTGTAATCATGTGGTGCTACATCAAGATAACTGTCTACCGATACTCATACTAGCGGACAAGTATAACGTGATCAGCTTGAAAAAGGTCAATGTGTCCGACTTCCTAAATTTGTTCTCGCCAGATATTCCTTTTTACCTTTTTACTTAATGCACTGTGATTTTAAAGCTTAGACAAAAGTAGAGTGCATAACTACTAAAGCATCATAGTATTTTCTCGAGATCTTGAGAGTACAACTTCAGCTTTCTCCAATTTTTAAAGCGATAAGAAACGGTCCGTGATAAAAAATACTGCAGTATTTTTGCTTGAATGCGCAATGACAATCTAGTAATCCCATCATTACAACTAGAAGGGTCGAATCAGTTGATATCACGGTGAGACTAGACGAGGTTGCGGTGGCAGATGACTGACTGATTTCACTTAAGGTCTGCATCGATTTCGCTATATCTGAGATCCTTCCCAGTCTAATGTTGAAGGATGTATTCAGTATATGGTTCTCGTATGCAACAAAAGCCTATCATCAGGTCAGACACTACGGTTTATATTTTTCCTGAAAGCGTGATCCAGTGAAAGTGTGAGTGACAAAACTACGAACAGAAGTTCTTTCTGTGGACGCATTTCATCAAATCGCAATCACATCAGTTGTGGTCCAAAGAGAGAGCTTTGCGTGGTACTCAAGTGACAAAATAAACATAGATTTGAGCAAAAATTAGCTGACACTATGCCACATTTGGAGATTTGCAAGATTTTCAATAGGATAAGTAATGTTAGCCAATAAATGTCGATAACGGACTATTTTTTTAAAAATTTCCTTGTGGCTTTGATAGTCTTCGTCGTCTACGCGTAAACATAAATCTATGACGAAGACAAACTCGGAGTACTCTATATCTTTTAACGTCGACCATAACGAAGACGGTACTGGTTTCATTCCGCTTCGGGTTAACCAAGTCTGTCATCTCTGTGGGGTTGGAAAATTGCTGCCACATTTATATCATCATCATCAAGTACTTACTCGGATACTTGGATAGCCTGTTCTCAATAGTTGTGCGGACCCCAGAATAATTTTCGTTTTTCGGAGTTTTGCTGGTCTAGCTATTGTGGTTTTCTGGAGTCCTGAGGTCAGCCTGGCCAAAGTTTGCCCCAGATCGACACTACCACAGCAGTGGCCACCTTTGTGAATCAGAGGAAGATTTGCCACTATGCCACTAGTTTGATACCGGACCGGTGGTGAATCTCGATATTGGTTTACTCTTAGCTGGGCTTCCTGATGGAAATGCAGGGTTCCCCTCAGCTTGGAAGACTACTGGAGGGATGAATCCCTCGCTATACATCGCAACCCGACACCCAGGAACACCTCCAAACCACGATGAGGCGGTAAACCGTTGGGAGGCAATATCAGAAGTCAACCTCATTTTAAAGAAACTATGTCTTTTTATCCTGGAAAAAACCTTATTTTTTCATGAGTTGGTGACCAAGTGAAACAGCTGCTTATGTGATATTACCATTATGTGATATTACTATTACTACTATGTGACCACTACTAGGTTCTTTATTCTCACTTGTGTTATACGGCATGGAATTTTTACTGCTTCGAAAATACATTTCCGAAATACTCGACACAACGATAACAGCCACAAATGTTGGTTTCAATAAAACAATGAAACATCCGAAAAGTCCAACTATCCTGGTTATGTCACCATGGTGGTCCGGAATTTCAACTCATAGCGCCCGAAGATGAGTTTTCGACAACTAGTGATAATTTTTCGTTAGTCGGAAAAATATCTTAAGAAATCAGTACTTCACAGATCGGTAGAGGAAGCTTTTTCTATCCTCTTAATTATATGTATGAGTTTTGTTCAGTGTTACTTTAATTTTTTGCGTGTAAGGGACGAAAATTTTCGAGGAACTGAAGATAAAATTTAAACTGTTAAAGTGTTCAGCGAATGGGAGACATCTGCAAACACAACGAATACATTGAGGTACCCCATCATTTTCTGCTGCACGAATTCTTGTCTGTTCGTTTGCCATTGTGTTCGAGATATGAATATGAACGACAAAAAGTCCAATGAATACATTTCATGGTCTGTTGAAAGTCGGAATTTTATCTTGATAGAATAAGAAATGGTTTTTATTCCAAGTAATGTATTTCAATAGAAACACAGATTTGTTGCGTCCAATTTGAAAGCGGTCATGATTATCGCATTAATGCATTGTACCCAATGCAGAACGTTGTGTGTTAATAGCTCTGTCACTGCGAAATCCGGTATGCTATCAGTTAACCTTGGCTTCATCCTATAATTGTTAGGAAAAACTGAAATTATATGCAGTGTTTTTCAAAGATCGCCCTGTTACAGCTGCTGATTAGGGCATGCATCCAAACGATCGCTCGGGACTTTGAACTGCTTATCACCGAGGAATGGGAGAAGAGTTGGTTGGCGTTGGATCGTGACCAAATGATCGAGATTCTCAAATGCAATCAGCTTGTGGTCGCCAGTTGGTTCTCGTTCTCCATTCAAGACTTAATTATTTTTATCTATATTCCTCAATAATTTCCTCAAAATAGAACAATTTCGGGACTTCATTATGATAGAAAACCCTGTCTTTTGAACTAACCAACTTCGTGCAATTCTCGCCTGTTCACAATATGATCATCAGCGACAAGAAGTCGAATGAATACATTTAGTCGGACCAGAAAGGGGAGATTTTGTCTTGGTAGAATAAGAAATACTTTTGTTTCAAGCAATGAATTTCAGTATAAACGGCGTTATGTAGATTGAAATTGGAAAGCGACTATCATTTTCGTACTAAAAAATGAATCGTGGTCAAAGCAGTACTCAACTTCGTAGCTTCGTCTTGTTGGGAAGCTATAGCTTCTGAATTAAACAACTTTTGTAAAATGTGCGATTCATCATTATTATTCTATGGTATTGAACGAAGAACCCTCAGAAGTTATAAGGAAAATTAAAATCAGACGGTGTGAAATGCTGAAGAATCCCCTACTGACGTTTCTGGGAACCTCTCTTATGAGATGTGCGGTGAGTTAACCATCTCGATTATGGTAATGAACTCATTCCACATCGATTTGATTTGTCGTTCCTAAGGGAGCGCTACATGCAGAAAGCGCTGTGGTTCGAGGCGCCATGCAATGTCCTTAATAAATCTGCTTGGTTTGTATGAAATGCAGCCACAAGAATCCTGAGATATGAGCAAAACTTGAAACCTTAGTTAGGCTTCGGATCCGCGATAACCCTTTCCGGTGGCTCACGTGCACTCCACCACATCAACCGAGGCTTTTGCTTTGCCTTTTTCTAAGCCAGTTTTCCCAGATCATTGCCATTTTCGGATGATTGCTGATCGAATCGGTAGAGAAAAAAAAACCAGTTGAGAGAAAGACAATGCAACAGCCCCGGTTTCTGTTGTGAATAGCACGTGAACGGCCAGAAAGGGTAATAGTACGGTTGAAGTCCACCTAAGGCTCCGAGTTTTGGTCATATCTCAGAATCCTTGTGGTTGTATTTCCCATAACACCCTACCAGGGAAAGAATGTGCACTAAATAAAAGTTTAACCACTAGGTTCATTTCACTTCAGGCTAACCAAATCGACACCACTTCGGGTTGACTATTCGTGTCAAATTTGCATGGGAACGCTCGTTTCGATCGGAAAAGAGTGGTTACCAGCCGTTAGTGAAAGTTTGGGAATACTCAGGCACAGAAATCCCGTTTTCCGATAATAGTTAACTAGGCAAGTATTCAACGAGCAAGACAAATTGCGCAAATGGTAGCCACGTTACAGTTAAACCCGAACACCTTAGCTTTCTTATGTTTTTCTCAAGGAGAATTTTCTCGCTGAAGCCTTCCTAGATAATTCTTGCTCAATTTTATTTTCGTATGCTGTTCATTTGGTATCACCCGGTCAAACTTTTCGTCTCGGAGAGTATCAACAACTTCTATCGTCTTATCAACCTTCTTAATTTGATCTTATCATCCTTAATCAACCCTTTTAACTACATAAATTACACCTACACCGTTTATTTCGCTGATGAATTGAGAAAAATACAATGCCGGAGAGTATCATTTTTATCAGCTTGGTGCTTTATAAGGTTAGCTATAAACAATTATCTCTATTTGAAAGAGGTAATGCCTTCGCTAATTTGCCACTGTGCCATTGGTTAATTTTTGAAGTGATGCATTTTTTCAAGATTTCTTAACTTAGTTCTTCTTTAATCATAAATTTGAACGCTCTGGTAACGAGTGACACCTATAGGTGTTATAGTGGTTTTGCGGAGTGGTCGGTAAGACCCATAGGTCTCATTTTTTTTCCGATGCTTTATTTAACATATAGAACTATTTTTTTATACTTTTTCTTTTCAATGAACTAAGTCTTGTAGAGCGCAGATGCTGTTTTGAGCATTGATCAGGAAAATTTCTGTTCAGCACATAGAAATATAGAAAAAACCCATATTCTTCTGCAGGGTAGAGCTAACGCGAGGTTGGTAAGAGACTTTTGTTTGAACCGGTTAAGTAAGATCTACAAAAAACCGTTTTCCGAACGAGTTCATCAAACCAGAGATTTGGGTGCTAATCGACTACTAATTCGATTCCATTCGCTATAGTGAGTGGAAGCTATCGTATAGAGCGTGCTTGATCAAAAGTACTACAATAGACAAGTTTCAAAAAGTTTCCAAATGTTGACAGTAATGTGTTTGGTAGCGGACCATAATAACATGTAGTAACTGGCACAATAAGCATCACCATATCAATAAATAGCACATAAAAAATCATTAATTTTCCGATTACATGGGGGTTTCGTGAGCCGTGGGCATGAATGGGTTGTAGAAAAGACTTCGTTTTATCGTTTCATGAGCACGGATGATGTACTGATGGAACGATAGAATTAAGTCTTTTCTACAACCTATTCATGTTCACAACTCACGAATTCCTCATCTTATGGGGAAATTATTGGTTGTCATAATGTTAACCTTTTATTTGCTGCCTATTACAGTTTTTCACAGCAGCGTATAATGTGAAATGCAACTATAACGATGCCGAGATATTCGCAAAATTTGGACGCCAGCAGACATCGAACCACGGTTATCCCGAGGGCTCCGTGCATGGCATGCTGCATCAATGAGGCCTTTGCTTTGCGTTTCTCTGAACTAGTTTTGTATTTCACGTTATATTCTGCCGGATTCCATTTGTTGTCGTTTAGACGTTTATTTCATCTCCAGACCACATGATTTTCAACATTTTGACGTACTTAGCGGCGTCTCTGATCATCGATATCACTGGCGCAGGCGGGAACTTGGGATTCCCTATTTCACTTGTTTGGCACGGGATCTAAGCGTCACTCTGTCAATTACATCATCATTAGCGCTGAGTGATCTTTCGTTGTGTTTACTTAGCGACCAGCTCTACGTCCTCACGCTCTTGAAAGCTCCCGAAGCTGCTCGCTTTCTCGTGTTCAGTTGTGGAGTTAAGTAGTTCATCATATGGATAAACGTAGATACCAACCTAAATAAATGCAGCTGTATTCGGCCCTTTTGTGAGATTTAATCGAAGACCAATCTTTCCACAGCCGATATCAAAGTCGGCAAACATTCGTTCCGCTGCGCTAATGCTTGTTGTTGTAAAAAAAGATATCATCAGTAAAGCGCAGATCGTATAGTTGTCGATTACAATGCGACTAAAATTCCGTAACACATGTATGCAACTTGCCTTACAAGGCGTGCTTAAATTGTTGAATACTGCATACTCGTTATGGGTAGGGGAATCGAAATAAAATTTAATTAGCAGAGTAGTATCTTGCTATGACAAATAACTTTTACGTTAGATAATTATATGTACCAGTAAAGGGAGTAAGGGAATACAAAGCATTTCAGACGAGTACCGTTTATGGGAGGCGGTGATGCGATGGCTGCAAGCACCAAATCATCCGGAACGACGAGGCACAACAGCCAGCCCTTTATTGAGCTCATTGCTGCCCTATATCCGGTTTGTCAAGCAATAAAGGAAAACAACAATCTATGAAATAGGCGATAGCAATATTTCTCCATAGTACCTAGATGAACAATTCCTATTTAATCCTTCGTTTTTTTTGGGTCGGAGGATTCGTTTTAAACTTTTTTATTGGGTCAGGAAAAGGACAAATTTTTCAGTTTTAAATCCTCTAGGTAAGTTTTTCTCGAAGTAGCTGGAATGAGTTTAGGTGTTTGTTAATACACCTCTTTCGTTACCTTCCTTACTAGGTCTTCAGAAACGAAGTTATGGCGCAATATTAATTTCACATTGAATAACTTTTAGGCTAATTTCGTCTTCTTCAGAAGTGTTTTTCTCTATGACGAGGTATTCCTCAATCGTGTAGACTTTATGCGTCCGGTTCTCTTTAGTGGAAGACATACAAAAAGTTGCCGATCCTGAATCTTGTGAACAATTCGCCGAAAGCTTGAAGAGATTATCTAAGAAATGCACCAAGCTTGGATGAGAGAGTGAACGAAATTACCAGTCATCGCTCCACGAAGAGAAAACCATAGTGGACAGTTCTTAGTGAAGTAATAACATTAAGACGATAGACCCAATAGTCAAGAGGGAAAAAACAGCTTGAAAAAAGAAGAACAGAATCATTATAAAAGGCTCGCTCTCGGGTCAGCAGGGAATAGCAAGTGTCCCAAAATTGTAGAAATTTTAGAATGTTGCCATGGAAGTGAATCCCAGCTGAATTATTTTGGTTATATTTCACAACATACCCTGCCATCAATGAGGAATAGGCAGTAAGTGGAAACTGACTATATTGCAATATTATTAAAAAATGCAGAAGATTTTGCAGCTGTCTCGATTGAGCTGCAATAAATTTCACGTGCTTACTAAAAAACGGCATTCATTCGATCCATATGTGCAACGATGTTGATGTAACATTGTATCATTGTTATTTCATTATATATTGTATCACTGCAACGGTCCCATACTACGTGCCGCTAGAAGTTGCAATGAACCAGCTCCACATCGTGTCTGTCGTACGCGACTATACGAATGGTGACAATCAGGCTATCCTGGCGCACAGTGAGCGTAGGTTTTCATCAATAAAGCGCAAAAGAGGACGCAGGTGGCGCAGTGCTGATAATCCCGTACAGCACGCAAAATTCAATACAGCCCTGAATCGCCCTCGCCGTTGGCCAACAAGGCTCCTCATCCCTTCCGGATCGGGTGATTGCTACTAGAGCTGTTCGGAATCATATCGATTCCTGCAGTCCACAGAAGGTGGTTACTGCCTGTGATGAAGACCTGGAAACTCCCTGGAACAGCTGTCCTGGAATGAAAGCGAGAACTAACTGGGTCGCTGTTTGATGACATTTATGGAGAAACGAAAAATCCTCTGCAGCAGACCAATACGCAGAAATCTAAGGATTTCCTTGACCGGAGGAATGGATGCAAGGAAATGAGACTAATGCAAAAAGTGCACAGTATTTGATTTTGTGTTGTGTGAAAGAAGAGCAGAACTGTAATTGAGTTTGCATAACCTCATACCTGCTTTCGTTTTGCACTTTTGTTCGTGTCTCTCAATAATTTTAAAGATTTAAGTTTTGTTTTCCTTCCGAAAAAAGATCTTTTGTGAATCAGAGATGTGTTGCAGATTTCCATTCATGACCGCGGACGAGTTGACACATGTTGAGCGCTCACAGTTTGCCGAATGCTATCCGAAGCTGTTTCATCCGCAGATATTGCTAGCCTATAAATTTCAAGCACTTCCTCTTTCAAGCAGAGTCAATTGCAAGTACGTCGTGACAGTTTCAGTGTTTTCCGCATGACTTCGTAATCGATAGGGATTTCATGTTCGTGTAAAAGACGAGAGCTCCCAACGGCTTAATGTTTCATCGTGGCTTGGAGGTGTTCCTGGGTGCCGGGATGCAATGTACAGCGGGAGGATTCATCCCCTTGGCAGGGTCTCCAAAGCTGAGAAGAAGTCAGGCGTTTCTATCAGGAAGCATAGCTAAGAGTAAACCAATGCCAGGATCCACCACCGTTCTGGTATCAAAGTCGCATAGTAGCAAGTCTCCCACTGATCCGCAAGGGCTGCAACTGCCTGTGTTGGTGAAGACCTGGGCAGACTTTGGCCAGGCCGACCTCAGGATTCCAGTGAACCACAATGGCTTAACCAGCAAATCTCCGAAAAATGGAGATTATGCTGGCGCCCGCAAGGACGGGCCGTTCAACTATCAAGTATCAAGTTAGTAAAGGACGAAAACATGGAAATTAACTCTAAAGATTTGTGTCCCATCGAACCTTCTGCTGAAATGAAAAAGCTTCATGCTAGATGGGTTATCGTACTATAGTTTCCTTCATGCGTGAGCTCAAAGTACCTTCATTTCTGGACACAAGAAATGGGAGAGGGGCAAACTCTAAGTACTTTTGAAATCTGTTATTGAGAAATTCTTATATCATCATCTTCATTATTGTAAAGGAATTTATTTTAACCGTAGGTAGAAATTAGTTCCAGAGGTCATTTATCCTCTTGGATGTTGTACAACTATTCGATTGAACTTCGCAAAACGAAAAATTTTTGTTAATGGACATTGATTTCATGTCAGTGTAAAGGACGAGAAACTGGAAATCAATCCGAGATTTTTGTCCTACTGAATCTTTTACTGAAATGATAATGCTTCATGCTCGATCGGGTCCCGTGCAGGAGATGTGCTGTAGAAACGAAAGAAAAATCTAAGAAATGATTAAACGTTGATATGTAAATGTCCACTTCATTTGTTCATTTGTAAAACATGTTCATGTCGGAGAGGAAATCCGAAATCTCTCAGCAACTAAATAAAGAAAATGAGCATTCCTGTTAATTTTATTTCGAGAATATTCCATAAATCCTTGCATTTCTGACTTTAAAGCATGAAAATCTTGTGGCAAGAAAACTGTTGAGCACCATAGGTTCGCCCATTCAACCATGTTCGGGACCTTTTCAGGGAGTTCCTGACGACGCAGTTTCTGCTGCGCAACTACACCGATATACGATGGGACAAGCGGATATCAATCTCGAACGAACAACTGTATCAGAGGGGCGTGGATCATTCATTCCAGGTGAACCAATTTTGAGGTGCATTTTCCAATTATTCTAGTGTACAGTTGACGCGCGAGCGCGAATCGGCATTAAGCTATTGATTAATTACGATTTGTCGAATTGGTGGACCGAGTCATAGATAAGATTGACCGTTGGCCGATGGTGAACCTTTGTTGGTAGAAAAGCAATTGGTAAGTACCTGCCAAGAAATCTATTGGAGATGTGGCACACCTATCTCCGATCCAGAAGGGCGAGGAACCCCGTGTGAGAATAAAATGAGAATGGACCACTTCGGCTTCCTTAGCATTCCAGACGAAAAAAATTGTCTTTCGCCAAAGTACCACTGTAGTGTAAAATATGCTATATTTCACTAGATAATTTAAGAGGGTGAGTTATTCAAATGCCAAGTGCTTGCAGCCACTCCTAGAACTTGCTACTTTATTTGACACTGGTAGTTTTTACCTATGATTAGGGATTTTAAAACTAGGTGCTATGGGATTTCTGGCATACGTTGCAGTTTAGCATTTAAAAATCGAGTACATTTTTTTGAAAAATCTCTCCTTAGATGAACCTAATTGAAGTGATCACATTCCTTTTCATTAACCATTATGCCTTTTAGTTCACCGAGCGTCTGATTTCACTAATAGGTTGGCGCTCTGTTACACCAGTGCAATTAATGCTCAATGAAATCCTAGTGTTTTTGAAATGTGACGATTTTTTTCTACACTGGAATACTATCTATCGTCCTTGTTTAGCCTCAACAACGTGTTGAACAGTCTATGATACTTCAATGCTGATATTTGCCAATTATAGCACGACTTTCGCGTACATTCGAGAAAGTTGAAGCGTTTCTTAGTTTTGACGTAGGAGTACATAGCATTGCTATGAGAGGTGTCTTAAATCTGCATGAAGTGAGCAGCATCTCTTTCATTATGCTAAAGCAGTTTTCTGACTAGTAGTTGCTGCATTAGTTCTCATGCAAGGATCGTAGTGCATGTGACCTTTTCGACATTCTCTTTAGTGCTAAATAGAGTGAATAACAAATCGGTTTCGTTCTGGCGATGTTTCAGCTGCCTCATGCGTCATGCACATTGTAACTCGTTCGTTGCAGATACGCACACGTTCTTGCACCTTTCCGCTGCAAACATGGCAATGGACTCTGAAATTGGGCGGTTCATCGTATTCGAATGCTGTCGACGATGTCCTTAAAGCCTATCTAATCTCGGAAGATATCGATCAGCCAAGGTACTAAGTTAGAAACTCTAGTCGGTCGTCTTGAAATCGTCGGTACGTGAATTCGTGAGCATCATTCCATGCTTGACAATACATGTTGAGATTTTGTCGCCTCAACAATAGTTTCTACTATATCAGTATATTATGCATCTGCTTACGTTCTTCTAATTATGACAGACTTCATCAATGAACTATTGCAGCTTGAGAACAGATAAACATTAATTTATGAGTCTTTTATTATAACAAGGCACATGTGACGCAGTGATCGGAGGCTCCCCGCGATACACACAAAGGATCGATCCCCGCCCACGTGGCTCACCAAGCCTTCCATCCCTCCGCGGTGGACAAATTGGTACCAGGCTTGTCTGGGAGGATAAAAGCACTGGCTAGATACATCGGTAGACAGCCACGAGTCATTGTAAAAGGCCAGAGATGCATTCAATCACCTCCAACGATGCTTAATGAGATCGAATGCATGGCCATCAGGGATTGATCAACGCCGAGAGCTTTTTCCTTTATCGTTTTAGTATAACAATTTTTGTACACGATCGTAGTAGCAACGGAGAAATAGACAAGAAAATTGCAAGTGTTCTGGGAGTCCTTTTTCAATTAATCCACACTGTGGTAGCGAATTCGATAGAAACTGCTTCGTTATATAATCGTTCTCTGGTGTGCTTTTTCTTATTTTGATTCTTAGCAGATCAATCGAGTACATGCTGTCGATTGTCGATGAAAAGCGCGTGTTAAGATCGTTCTCGAGCAAGAAGAACTTCACAAAAACTAGGTTTGCGAAAAGTTTATTTTACATTTTGGTTCGAGTTACACCATATTTCTTCATAAAGATGATACTGGTGACCTAATCCTTTTTAATTATTTTCAAGTATTTTGCTGATATTTTTAAGTATTTTAGGCTACAATAAAAGTAACAATAATATCTTATCTATATCATCAGTAAGAAGTCTTCTCCACTGACAAGTCGCAGCTATGCACTAGATTCTTTTTGGTCTGCAAAGCATTAACTCATCGATGAGGCAGGAAGAGCATCATATTTTTCTCACTGCTCCCTAATGACCTTCATGAAAAAAGCTGACCACTTGGTCGGCAAACCTTCGCTTGTATGTTTGAAATACCGTGAAATCTTACTCCTAACTGCTTTGTCTTCCGGTTGTTTTTAAAGTGAATTATACAATAATTCGATTTTCAACATCTCAGCCTCAATATCGGGTACTCGTACTATCACGCCTTATATTACATCACAAATAATGTTAAATGTTAGAGGTAATGTGAGGTAATGTTAAATGTAGGTATGGTAACTCAGGAAATTAGATTCGTAGCTTCGGGATGAGGACTGTCTGCAATGATTCGACCGATTGGTCTATTAGGTGATGCTCGTGCGATTTTATTCGTGTGCTGCGGATGCGTAAAGCGCGGTGACGCTGATCTAGTGGTAGAACCGTCTTGTGACGTTCACAAGCGTATGCTTTCTTTTTGAGTTTATCACTTTGACTGTGTCCTTATCGACTATGAAGACGGTCGCACTATAAGCTGACTATTGAATCTAAGTGAATATTATGGAAAGTGATCGGTCGAGGTGGGCATGTTCACTTTTAATTCATTTTTGAATCCCTTATGGCAGTGAATGTGCGCATGTTAAATACGAAACAATCGTGAAGACGTACTTGAGTTCGATGCTTGTAACACAGTAGTTAGAGGTACACAATACACATTGGATCGATCATTTGTTCTATCCCACCCGTGATTTCATCAAATCATTAATCCCTCTTGGATCGGCAAATTGGTACCAAAATTTTCTTGGAGTGCGAAAGAACTGATATTAAACAGATTGAAAATAATTTCAAGTGCTGACCTGAGACAACAGTAGGCCACCACAAGTCACTGCTCAGACCGGATATGCATTTAATTACCTCTTCAATATTCCATAAAACCGAATGTATGACGTGTCTCTCATGGGCTGATCAACATATAACGCTCTTCCTTTAAGCGTGGACAATTAAGTAAGTTTTATTCACTTGTGTGGATCGCACCACGTCTTCCACTCTTTTTATTGTCCTATCCTGTAACCGTTCTGTTGATAGATCCCTTGAACGTTTTATTGTCATTCGCAGTGGTTGTTGAGCTCGCACATAGACTCCGCTGCAACTTGAAGCTTCTATCACTCCACGTTGAATTCCTATCGATCATGATTTTCCGTAGGTCGAGATACCTGGGCTAGAGATTTCTCATTTCGTTTCACAGACACTTGCTATTTTTCTGGATTGAAAAGAAGTTTCCGATTGGAACTCTTCCAAGACTACAGCTATTGGCAGCGATTTCTGTGATGGCAAGGAATCCTGCGGATAGGAGGCTGAGCGTTATTATAATAGTTTGCGGTCTAAATCTTAAAACAGCACCGATCATTTCACTAAGAATGCACCGTACCATTGATACTATTTAAAAAATGTACAAATAAGTGATTTGAAATTTCACTCGTACTACTTGCTCTGGTCTACTAATACATCAAATCAGTGTTCCTCTCTAATAGAATGTGTATAGTAGACAATTTTCTGATTCTAAAGGTGCGGCAGGCTTTCCTCCTCTCAATATTGTGGCATAAAGGGTAAAGGATAAAACTTTCTGCGCTGATCAATCGCTTAGTGGTGCGTGTTCATTCAATCCCATTCCTAAGTCATAGAGGTGGTCGAATGCATATCTAACCTATACAATGGATTGCGCTGGTCCACTGTTGTGTGAAATGAGAGCTGGTATTATCCTGAACAAGTCTGGTACAAACTGCCCACTGCAAGGAGATGCAAGGTTTGGTGAGTTCTGGGCGCGCGGTTAAATCGATGAACTCATGTGTACTGCAGACACCTTTAACCAATGCGCTACACCCACCGTATTGTAGTATATAGTCGTTACCGTTTTACTTACAATGACTCGCACTTGTTTCTTATCTTCTTAAACCATTAAGCCAAGGACTTTTAATTGTTGAAAAATCACATTCTTCTAGGTTTAAGTCATGTCTAAAGAAAGACGAGATTAAAGCATTACTTTTGAAACATTCGCGATCGTGCGAGTGTTTTCGTAACATGTAATTTTTTGAGCCTAACAGTACTTTCTCAACAACTCAAGCGCTCCAGGATGCGAGAACTTGGTGAATTTTAGGAAGCACTTTACCTATTGCTTTAAGAGTAGAAAGATTTCTTGCAAAACACAATACTATTCTTATTTGTCCAACTAACATTTGGCAAATGTTAACAAAGTTCTAAAAACGTGAATTGTTTGAAGCAAGCGCACTACCTCTTGTCTGACAATGCATTCAGGATCACCGACATGTGCAGCTGAACGAAATCCTGCTTGTTGAATCGCTTCACTTCTTTAGGCGTTTACCTCGGCGACGAAAGGCGAAAAAGAAACGCTTTGTGGAATCCAGAAAACCAAAAATTCATCGCTATAGACTAGGAATTATTGCTACTGGCAATTATAGATGGAATTCGAAGGTTTTCATTTTTAAATGATATGTGCACTGTGAACTGAGATAACTTGATTTAAAGCTGGAAAAGTCAAATTCCTTCTGGCCACATTTAGATTGAAGCCAATGAACTCCGTCGCGGATGTGACGACCGACTGCTTATGAACAGCGTGAATATTCCTCACATGACGCTGAGATATTTGCAAAACTCCGGAAACAACGAATGCATTACTCCTCGGAAAGGACAATAGCGCGTTCGTTCCCCACCGCAAACACTTGCGGTCCGGAGTTTTGCAAATATCTCAACACTTCATACTGTTTTCTTTCCTCATGAGGGAGAATCACGAAGGTGGTAGTTTCGGAGAAATGCTTCAGTTTTGTACAAAGAAATTTGGAAGACTTAGGACGAAAAGTGCATTTATTTTATATAGAACTGAACAAGTCCATTCAACGCAGATAAAGTTTTTCCTAATTTGTTCAACCCATTGGTACCGACAGTGAATTTTGTGTGGCGAATGCATGATAGGGCACTCATTTCGTGTCGGTTATGGGCTTGCTTGTTTTTCGAAAGTAAACGACAATTTTTCGATAACTAGGACCAGAGCGGTTGAGGTCGTAGCAGCGCTAAAGAGGAACCTTGTTCCATCGCTCTTGGGGTATATATGCTTTGCACGGCACTGTTCGCTATATGTTACTATGATCCACCAAAAAATCAGAATATTGGTAGTGTATTACAGCTTATGTTGACTCTACTACCGTATTCTTTACACCTTCCAATTAGTTTTAACCATGACTAAGCACATCGACTGGAATTGAAATTACACCCATTTATCGGTCAAATTATCGGCCTCAAAAGAGTTTGTCTATGTCGGAGCCTGTCATAATATTTCTGTCAAATAAGCTATTAGATGTTTACAAAATGTCCAGTATGAAGCTCTAAGTGGCAGAATAAGCAGAGCAAGGAAAATGAAACGTGTATGACTCTCCTCACCGCCAATATATTAGTGATTTACAGATAAAGGCGCTTCGGAGGCTGTAAAGTTCTCCTGGAACAGGGTGGAGAGTAATCGATGAAGCTAAAAGGTCGAAGCTGTATTCTAAATATATTCTCACATTTCCATCATTTGTGTTGAATCATCTTGCTTTGTGCGATCTCTTTTGCTGCGTTCTTCCCATGATTATATAAGTAGATAATTAGGTAAACAAACAAGCAAATGTGGTATGAAACTTTGAGATCTTGTTTTCTACATGAATCCGATTTCCGAACAGTGTTGAAGGCGAGCCTTGACGAGAATTCCAGGGATTTTGAGCAATATATTATGCAACTTGTAGAGCATAATCGATTTTTTTAAAATTTGTACTCTATGACGCGTATTTTACAGGTATTCAAGCGAGTTAGATATTGATCGGAAAGTGGAAATCAACGATTTACTCACCGAAGACTCGCCGCTACTGGTCAACGGCGAGCTTCATTTACAGATTACGCTCCGACCTATCGACTGACCTGAACTTGGGCTAGACGTCGATTGATATCCCCAATATTCCCAGACGCATAGGTCAACTTCTCTTACGGTTGTCGATGCAAATCTGCTGTCAATTCACAAGAGGAGTAATAGCCTGCAATCGAAGAAGCTAGTTGGCCGATCTCTTCCTGTGGTTCTCCCATTTCTATTATATGTAGCACGTTTTATTTACGGCTCTAAATCTCAGCGTCCTCATCTGCCAGTCACACCTGTACCTTTCGATTGTCTTCATCTTCCACTGATTTTCCGTGGTAATGTCGATATATGTATATTCACGTCTTAGATTCATTGGTATTCGTCCATTTTCGGTGTTGTATAGTGTTATTAGTAAAATGTTTTCTCAGTATTTCGACTCTGTTTGTGCACATGTTTGCTTTTGTAGAGTAGTTATTAGTGGACTGAATTCGGTTTTATCCTCTGTACTTTTTCAATTTTCAACAGCTCCTCTTCTCTCTAGCAGGATTTTGCGACAGACGTCAGAAAGAGCCTGGAGACTCGATACTGCAGTTTTCAACATTGCCCTTCCGATAATAGGCGTTTCATCTTCTCATACCAAGAAATCCTTTATTCTTTAAAACTGCGCAACTTCTTTTTGCTATTCTTCGATTCGTTTGTTGCAAAGCGTGTTACAGATGCAATGGCTGTTAAGGAAGTGCGGCTAAACGTAGCTGTAGCTGCACCACTTTGGTGATGACCACAAGAGAACGCGCCACAAAATAAAATGCTACATGTTCGAGAACTCCATAATATCAAAGCAAGACATGAAGAAATCAAATGTGCCGTGCATGATAAAGTCTTGGAAGTCAAGGTGCACTCCCGCATAGAAGTTACGGGCTGGGTGTACCGACCCCCTCCACTATCCGAGCATCGTGAACACTTTCACCTCTTTTCACGTTCTTTGGCAGGTTGTTTTCAGAAAGAAATATTTTGTATTAATTGGTGGAGTAGAACAGTCTTCGATTCAGTCTTCGGCAAAGAATAATCACTAGCTCGGAGTAGAATGCTCGACTTTGTACGAGTTTGTCACGCGGAACTTTTGATGTTGCCACAAAGCACAATCTTATGCTTGGGTTATAGTCGATTTTCGCAACAATAACAAAACAATATTAACAACCTGACGATATCTAATCGAGCGAAAGGGGTGAGCGTAATTGGGCTAAAAACGAGCGAAACAAACGAATTTGGGTGAAACACTGGAACACTAACTCGGTAACTAATACTGATCTTTATCTGAAATGCAACAGCGATACTAAGATATTCGCAAAAACCCATAGGAAGATCGAACCACGACTACCCTTTGCAGGGGCCCACGTATTACAAACTGCGCCACTGACGGCCTTGCTTTGCGATTCTCTCAGCTAGTTTTCTACCTAGCGCCGTTATCAACAATTATAGCAGGTAGCAAATAAATGGTTAATATACTCTTTGTATTCCTTCTGTAGTGGACAGAGTTTGACAGAAGGAACAAGGGGAAATGTTCAGAGGGAGATTGGAGAATGTTTGTGAAGGCTATACAAAGCCTTTACAGAAAATGCATATAAAAGCCCATGTTGCACAGTAGCTTGTACAAAAAGCAGATTGAAACAGCAGATGCTGAAGAGTGCATGCGACTAACAGCGGCTTCTTCTGTGCCTGAACTGTCGGACCAGACCCTGCGCCCGCTGGACAAAGCCTCCCTTTTCTCTTACCTACTTGGATACTTGGAAGGCACGTCCTCACTGAATGTGCGAGTCCCAGCACATTCTCCATTGTTTCGGAATTTTCCTGGGTTAGGCGCTATATTTTCCTGGAGTCCCCAGGTAAGCCGGGCTGAAGTCTGCCTGAGGTGGTCACCACCACAGACAGATGCCGCGTTTGTGGATCGTAGGGAGATTTGCCACTATGTCACTATTTTGATACCAAAACAGTGGTAGATCCCGATATTGGTTTACTCTTAGCAAAACTTTCTGGTGGAAACGCCGGACCCCTTAGGTCGGGAAACCTTGCCTAGGAAATGAATCCGCCGTTTTACGTGGCAGCCTGACACCCACGAACACCATCCAGACACGATGAGGCGATAAACCGTTGGAAGGCTTCGTTCCCTTCAAGGTCGGGAAATCGGTATTTGATTTGTTTGAGATCAGCTCGCTTCTTACAATCCACAGAAGATAACGGCTGCCTATGAAGAAGAGGTGGAAACACCATAGCAAGGTTATTCTAGAAACTTAGAGATAGCCGACTTGACATGCATTCAACATCATCGAGGAAGCAATAATCGCCATGCAACAAACGAATCTACGAGCAAGTACGATCACCTTCCTTCATATTACATGGATGAGCATAAAACCAAACAGAATGCAGGAAATTCTGGATTCCGCAAAATTTGTAATGTCAGTCCGTGTAGGATAAAATGAAATAAAACCAATCTATTGCTTAAATATTAGCGAAAAGGCATTACCGGTCGGTATTTGAATTAATCGTAAAGGTGCAGAATCACATCCAAACACTTCAAGGTGTATTTATGGTTTACTCGGATTCTCGATTTTTGCATCCGAGTCCTCGATAGAAGACTTGCTTATGCAAGCAAGAAGGATAACGCACGACGTTATCGGCCTGGCCGAGACGAGAAGACACCAGCCTTTCAGTGCCGTCTATGACACCGGAGTAGAACTCTTCCTCGGAACATGCAGCAGTAGAGGAGTCGGCGACGTCGGCGTTCTCGTCAACACGAGTTTGACCATGAACATCGATTCATTTGAACAACTTACAACCCAAATCGGACGTTTACAATTAAAAAGATGTAGATCAATACCAGTTTTGACAATCTTCGCCGTAAACGCGCCGACATCAAACTATGGCAACGAAGAAGTCGAAGCGTTCTATATGGACTTGGAGAAGTTCTACAGAGAAGATCACACATTCTTCGAGGTCATCATTGGAAATTTCAACGCCAAGATTGTACCAAGAAGAACGTCTGAAGAACGTCACATTGGGACACACGGATTAGAATGGAACGAACAGGGTGAGGGGCTGTCTGAGTTTATCATGGCGAGAAGCCCCACCCTCAGTGCTGGACGTGGGAGTCTCCCGATGGAGAGTACCATAGCGAAATAGACCACGTCATAGTAAATAGGTTTTGACTAACCGATGTCGCTGTTGCCCCAAAATTCTACACGGGATCAGACCATCGTCTCCTTCATGCAAGATTCTATTTCTCGTGGAAAGGAGAAAAAGCCGCTAAATTCCAAAACCGAATTCCCAGAACCACCGTAAACTGGGATTTGCTCAATTCATTTGTCGGTTGATGGAGAGATGCCGTTGTCGATAACATCGACGACGAATGCGATCGGTTCATTCAACATCTTCACATTAGCGCTATGAAAGCTTAGAGTTCGAAAGCCAGCAAGAGACCTCTGTCTCCAGAAACACTCGAGCTGATACGCCATCGCGGAAACGCACGAGCTGCAGGCAACCGCGAACTAATGTCCAAAGTTGCAAAACAATATAGGCAGACGTTAAAAGAGGATCTTAAAGAGGGAAAAGTAGCAGTGATGGTCAAAGCTGCAGAGGCTGGGAAAAGCATTTGCAAAGCACACCGAAGCTTCGCCAATTACAAGACGAAAATAATTGCACTCCGACGCCCAGACGGAACAGTTACAGAGTTCAGAAAGGTGATGGAGAAAATTATTTAGGAACACTACTCGGATCTCTTCGATAGCCGCGTCCACCTTCCGCCATATAAAATAAAGGAGGATGGATATGTTGCACCACCGGTTCTCCCTTCCGAAATCCGACATGCCATTTCGTCGGTAAAAATCGAACGGCACCAGGTCCGGACAGGATAAGACCAGAACACCTGAAGAACCTTCCTCCAGTCCTCATAAACACACTTGCTCGGCTCCTCACTCGTTTCCTGTCTGAATGCAAGGTCCCTACTCAGTGGAAGACCAGCAAGACCGTGTTATTGTTCAAGAAGGGTGACCTACACGATATCGGCAACTCTCGCCCAATCTGCTTGCTGTCTGTCGTCTACAAACTCTTCACTCGAGTCATCCTAAGGAGGATTGACAGAACACTAGACGAGGGACAGCCATGTGAGCAAGCAGGGTTTCGAAGAGGATTTAGTACGATGGACCACATCCACACGGTAACACGGCTCATTGAAGTGTCGCGAGAGTACAAAAGGCCGCTCTGTCTCACTTTCATGGATTTACAGCAGGCCTTTGATTCAATTGAGATAGTAGCTGGAAGCATGGAAGTCCTTGATAGTCAAGGAGTCCCTACTCAGCGCAACGATTCCTAGTGAGCTGTACAAAAATTTCACAACCAAGATTTCACCGTCCTACAATGATATTAACATCGACACCAAAAGAGGTTTTAGGCAAGGCGATACCATCTCGCCAAAATTGTTTGCCGCCATCCTCCAGAACGTCATGCAAGCACTGGAATGGGATAATATAGTAGTCAAAATTGATGGTCGGTAGTTACATCATCTTCGCTTTGCTGATGACATCATCTTTATAACACTAAACATTAGCGAAGCGGAACGTATGCTTACCGACTTCGATAAAGCCTTCGGAAAGATTGTTCTCCGACTAAATCCCACAAAAATGGTGTTCATGAAGAACGGATTGGTTTTATAGTTCCCACTCACGCTCAACGGAACGAATATCTCCAAACGCTCCAGTTATATCTATCTAGGTCTGGAAATCAATATGAAGAACGACCTAGCTTCAGAGCTGAGCAGAACGAAACGTGCAGCTTGGAAAGCTTTTAAGAGCATCGAGGATGTCGTGAAGAGAACAGAGAACACCCGAATCCGTGCCCACCTCTTCAACTCAGCGGTACTTCCTGCCCTATCGTATGCGTCAGAAACCTGATCGCTGCGTAAGCAGGATGAAAGGTCATTCAGCGTTATCGAACGCGCAGTCGGAAGGGCGATGCTAGGAGCAGCCCGTTCCACACAACTAAGCGATGGGATCCGATGCTCCGATGTGCGTCAGCGATCAAAAATCAACGATGCCGTTCTGTACGCCAAACAGTGGAAGATAAGGTGGGTCTGGCACGTAATGCGTATAAATGACAACCGATGGACAAGAGCCGTTAGTGACTGGATTCTATGGGATGTTAAACGTACTACAGGAAGACCGCCAATCCGATGGTCAGAGTTTTTCACGAAGAGTTTAAAAGAATGAAATGATACTCGACGAGTCCCTAGAGCGAGCAGAACCCCACTGGGCTACTCTTGCACGCGACAGGGAAAAATGGAAGATTTACTGGCGCCCGCTCGAGTCACTCGACGATCAAAGGGGGTGCAGGTGATACTACAGGTGATTTATGGTTTACAGGAGAGTTAAATATAAACGGATCGTGATATGAAAGATTACTTGGATACCTGGATAGCCCGTCCTCACTGGTTGTTTGGGCCCCAGCATATTCTCCATTTTTCGGAGATTTGCCGGTGTAAGCATTGTGGTTCTCAGGAGTCCCGAGAACAACCTGTCCAAAGTCTGTCCCATGTCGTCGTCATTACAGGCAGTCGCCACCCTTCTGGATCTGAGGAAGATTTGCCACCATACGACTAATTTGATACTAAAACGGTGGTGGATACTGGTATAGGCTTATTGTTAGCTAGGTTTTCTGACGGAAACGCTTGACGCCTTTCCAGCTTGGGAGACTCTGCCAGAGGGATGAATTACCCGTTGTATATCGCAACCGGACACCCAGGCACACCTCCCAGCCACGATGAAGCGGTGAACCGTTGGAAGGGAGATGGAAAGTTACTAGAAAAATTGTAGATTTAATGATAGAATTTTTACTAATAATATGTATTCTTATAAAAAGGCGTACTCAGCCATTTACACCACCGATTAACTGCATGAGTCCTTTGAGTACTATTAAGAACAGCAGCAGTATGAAGGCAGAAGTGTTTTTGCGATCCAAAATAAATAGCATTCGCAGTTGCTAGAAAAGTTTGAATTTCCGTATTTTTGGAATTAATGGGTGTCAGCACCTTACAATGAAGTCGTGGTATGCCGACCCATCGAATAAGGTCTGTGAAGACTGGTTTAGACGTTGTGTAAACGGGGATGGTGCCATCAGTGGTTGTTGGTTCGAACAGCAGCAATCGATCTCATATCGGATTCGATCCGATCACGGTAGCGTTATCATTTCAATGGATAGTTTATTCTCATGTCAATTTTACGTCTTCTTACTTTCTACCATGCAGCACTTTTGAAAAACTTTCGAATGAAGTGATTTCCTCGCGTTCAAGGTGAGATGATGCTGCTGGAATTGCTGACAGTACTTTATTTCCCAATATCGTCATCGATTTCCTCACCACTATATGATCGATTGTGGCGACTTGATAATTCATCAGCACCATTTGACTTACACGGCAGTAGAAAACAAATTACTGATGGTACAGTTTCTTATTCACTAACTTTTTACTGAACTCTAGAAAAAGCTGGATGATCGCAACCACAAAGTAACATAACCTATCCGGCTCGTCTTCAGAGTCGTAAAGTTTGGACTATTTTAAATTTTGGTTCTTGAGGAACAAACTCATCTTGGACGCGTCTCAGCACGCTTGGCTGTGATGACCAGCACTTTTTGCGATTAGCCCGAGAATCCGGCGACGATCCAGCAAGTGTTTTCAACGAGTTCTCATCTTTTATAAATTGCAAGTTAACAATCGGCTGTTTCCAGTCTTGTAAATCCTTGAAAGTCGAATACGACCACGTTTGTTTCACACTACCACCACAAGAAGCATTCAAAGAGACAAAGGTATCATTTTTTCAGCAATTTATGTTGACGTATTTTTTCATTTATGAATTTGCTGACTAAAATCATTCTTCAACTAAGCGACCCTCTCTAAAGGGCGAACTTCTCAGGAAAGACAAATTGTTTTGAAACAAATGAACGATAGAAATCTGGCTTACTATTTTCGGAGTTTTTCAATCGCTGTTGTTTTGTTTATTATGTCGTTCTATGTATTCTATACTTTCTCTGTTGTTTACCACAATGGGCTTCGTGGAAGCGTTTTGATGAGTGGTTTTGCTCTACGAGCTTCCGCCTTCAGGCTTTCTGTGACGCATTCGTAGAGACGTGTCCTGAAACGCTGAAGACGAATTTATTCACACATATATCGTAAGTTTCGTATACTCAAGTACTATCTAACAATATCCATCAAAAAATAGAAGAAATCAAAGACCAAAGTTAGTTGCAAGGCGAGAGATGGCAAATCCTATCTGTTAATGCGTGCATTGAATTTTTAACTGAATGCAATTCTACTGCTAAGAAATGTAGAGCTCATAAACCAGCCTAAAGGGGGCCGAATGTCTTAAGAATTTGAGAGAGAAACTGGTGATATTTTCTCTAAATACTCAGTATTGCAATCTAGTCAGCCTTTTATTTACTGTCTATTCTTTTTACGGCAACGTATGACGTGAAATATACCCATAGTGGTGCTGAGATATTTGCAAAATTCCAAACTGCAGGTGTCTCTGGCGGCGAAGATCAAACACGCTATCCGCCTCTACATTGTGATTTATCCCACAGCTTCGTCTTAACTAAGTTCAACGCCGATTTGTGCCTCCCAGATAAATCCCGTTGATGGATGAATTCTGAGAGCTCCTATACACCACGACAGAGAGTATTGTTAAACGGAGGACTCGTTTGGTGCGGTGGTGGACTCGTTTAGCCCTGGAAAATGTGGTAGAGTGTTCGATCCCCACTACAGGAACCTAAGATCCGAAGTTTTGCAAAAAACTCAACATTCTGTTTTTTCTCGTTGCTTCTTCTTCTTTTCCTTCAAATGCGATGTAGCGTAGGATCAACGGAGTTAAACTCCGTTTCAAAAAACGGAAGAGGTTTAGTTGCCAGACTTAAAAATATGGTCGGTATTTAGTCATATTTTTAGGCAGCTCAAAATCGACTACACGGATTACTGTAAAAATGCGAAGGAACGCTTCGAATACGTCTGCCCGGAACCGCTTCGCTTTAGAACCTTTGCCGAGGATGTAAAGAATTTTTGTCGCTTCTGGTTTCCTACGATGACAGAGGAAACAAATAGATTGCAAATTAGAGAGTAAACTAACCTCTTAAGAAGGCTGCTAAAACTCAGTCCTATTTCTCTCGAGTTAGTTTTTGAACAGTTTCTCACCAGAACTGAATATCACAGTCAGTCGAAAATATTCCTACAGACCGAATTTACTAGCACTTTGTCTCGAGCCACGTCAAACCATTCTCAGACATTTAATCTGGCGAAACCATACTATAGACTTTTTACCTTGTGCGATAGCGAAAGATATTGTTTTTAAGGCGGTTGAGTTTTGCCTTCGTTATACGAACCGTTGTCCTAGAGCCAAAGTACCCGACGTACCAGTGCCGTTCAGAAAACAGGTATGAGAAATTAGCTTGGTAATGAACCTTTTTTGCACAGTAGTACAGCCGAAAAGGGTTATTGAATTAACAGATAGTTTTACTTATCGAATTCCAACATTTTTTCGAATGACCTAGATAGTTTTCGCCATCTTAGATTGAAAAGAAGTCATTTAGTTGAAAAATCTTTTTGAAAACATGCTCAGTACTATTGTTTAAATATCTCTGTTGAAATTGAATTTTAGCAGACTAGCAGAAAATCGTTTATAATCTAAAAGATGGACTCAATTCCTCCATCTCCGTAGAGGAATATTCCAGTGACAAGTTTCAGGATGAAACGCATATATACATCCGTGAAATCGCTGCTCATTGCAAACTGTACTATCGTCAAGCACGGACCTTCTGCCTTCATTTAGAACTGCTGAAATTTCCGAAATACGCTATTCCATGCTGGCTTTACAAATTGAACTGCATTGACGTCTATAAGAAAGTCATCTACGGTTAGCAGACGCCAGCTGTCTGTAAGGTGTCCAACATCCTAGGATGATGATAACATACGAGCAATCCGCACTACACTATATATTTTTACAACCTCTGCTTATAAATGTTAAAATTTTTTTTGGTACCAAACCTAACAGTTGTAGGTTTTTAAAGGTGTGTCGTCGTTAAATGTGCTGGGAACACAACATAATTTCTTATAATTCTTTCTACTTCTGTTCAGCAAACACGAGGTGTTATTTTATTTCTTTATTTACGTACAAGCTGACGTTTCGGAGGGTTTCGCCTTCCTAAGAGCCTGGAGAGCCTTTTATTACTCTATTTATTTAATTGTCTACTCCTACATAGGTGGAAAGTTTTTGAGTGCGTTGAATTATGAAGTGGGCTACCGAGTTCTTTTGATACCTGATGTCATTTGACCGTCGTTGTTTTATTAGCTATAACTTCCCCATTGCTAGAGGTTTTTGTCTTTATGAGAGTGAAATTTTTATTGGAAAAACCTTTTATAGTAACATGTATAAAAAATATCAGGGAGGTTGGTCGGTTTGGTTGGAGAGTTCTAATCACAAGGATATTGGGACGTTGTATTTTTTATTTGGTTTGTAGTCTTAGATGTTAGATACGGTTCATTCTTCGACTATTCCTTTGGAGCTGCCAAAGTAGGAAATCTTCTTGTTTGACTGGCAGTTATATAATTCTACTGCTAGTGCTCATGGTTTTTCGATGAATTCTTTTAATGGGGACGCCAAGTATAATTGGAGGTTTTGCTAATTAAATGTTTCCCTCAATGTTGGCGGCTCTGGGTATAAGGTTGCTCGTTTGAATATTTTGAGTTTTTGATTATTACCTACTTCAGTGTTTTTCATTTTAGATTCTTGTTTTGTTGATATAGGGTGTGGAACTAGACGAAATGTTCATCCACCATTGAGTAGTTCAAGTCGTCCAAGTACAAGAGTAAATTTAGCCATTGTTAGGTTACAATGTGCGGGTTTAAGTTCGATTTTAGGGAGAATTAATTTTATATGTACCGCTAAGAATATACGAAGTGGTTCTATTTTTAGATCATATATTTCATGTTAGAGTAATAGAGGGAGTAATGGCCGGAGACCGGAATGCTTCAACTTTGGACATAAATGCAATGGCAATTCTTGGTGCTAGTCGTTGACCCATTGCTAACCCTCTCCTTTGTGCGCATTATTTTCCTGACCATGTTAAGATTAGGCACTTTAGACACACCTCTAAGAGGGCTATCAGCTGCTGTACCATACATGGTTTTGCTCCTTTATGTTGCATCAGGTGTTCGAGGTTGACTGGCATAGTGGATTCTCTCGCAAAGCTTGTATAATCGACGGTAATATCACAGGATTGCAACACATAAGCGCACATATCACGCGAGTTAAGTGAACGATCTAGGAACACCTGGTACTTGTGAAACGGGCTGGGACGTGTCTCAGCAACTGGATGAGAACTGGTTTTATAAGTCAAGCTACTTTATCCGTAGCATCGTCTACACAGCAATACACAGCTGATGATGGAACTAAGCTTGAACTCTGAGTGGTTAGAGCGATAAGAAATGGCTCATATTGAAAAACAAAGCTCCACAGGAAAGGCAACTGAGGCTGGTTATCGTGATAATGTACTTCTACACTACAGAATTTTAAAAATCCAAAACCCTGATAAAGTGCCAGTATTTTTATAATGAAAGAAAAATTGAGCGAGTGTAATCATCAACGGGATTGTCGTGATATTATTGTTGAAACCTGCAAAAAGTGGAAAAGTTCTGAAGCTTCTCTCAAGGCCAAATTATGCGAAATGCGAAATCTCTAAGTAGGTCTTGTGAGAAAAGTGGAAATTGGCATCTATTGGAACACAAGCTTAACTGGAATCACCACCGACCGCGATTGTGGTGATATTGGACATAAACTCTGTACAGGTTTGGAAAATGTGAGGCTTCATCGAATGTCAGTGTGTGCAAAAAGCAAAGCATCTATGTGGGTCTTAAGAGGAAAGGTTGAAATCGGCTTCCATGGAAACACAACTTTCGATTGGAATCATCACTGATAGCGACTATCGTGATTTTGAACGTAAACCTTGTAGAAATTGGAATAATTATGCGGCTTCAGGTCAGTGCAAGCAGAATGCGAAATGTCTAGGTGCTCCTTGTGAGGAACGGTGGGTATTGGCCCATGTGGAAACATAAGGCTCAACCGGAATAGCATCAAGAAGGATAGTTCTGTAGAGGTCAAAATCTACCATCTCTGACAACAACAAGAACATAGATAATTCGCTTTTTAATGAGTTCGTCCAGAAAGAAGCATCGAAATTTTTTCAATTTCTCCACTGTTCATGTTCAGCATCATGAAAATGGCCCTCGATTTCATTGCGGTGGAACGTTATGGTCATGAAGAGACCAATTCCTAACGTTTCTCACTATACCTGTTGAAACTTCGCTTTATCGATGAATTACCCGAGGATGAACATTCTCGATTTCTTCAATTTCTGTAGTGTCCATGTTCATTATCACAGAAATCGGCCTCCATGCGATTAAGACGCTGTCTTCATGAGGGTACCAGTTCCTACCGTTTCTGACTAGATCTACGCAGCAGTTTCGCTTTTTCGATGAATTTCCCCAAAATTATTCTCCAGAAATTTTTCAATTTCTGCCGCGCACATGTTCAGTATCACGAAATTCTCCTCCGATGAGGTTATAGTGTAGCGCTGTTTCTGAAGTGCTCAAATCCCGCCATTCCTGACTATATCCTCGTAAATATTTCAGTTTTTAAAGAACTGGCCCAGAATTAACCTTCATTCCTTTTTCAACTTTTTTAATGTTTATGCTTAATAATACGGAAATCGCCCTCGATGCGGTTCCGGTGGGACGCATTGTTTCCGAAGCAGCCAGTTCTCAGTTTCTGACTACATCGACTTAGATATTTCACTTTTGCATACAATAGCCCTGAGCGAAGCTTCATAGATTTTTCTAACTTCTGTAGTTTAGAAGTATATTGTCACGACAATCGTTCGCATGTGGTGGTTCTGCTCAAACCATATGTTTCCAAAAAAGCCAGTTTCCATTGTTGCTGACTGAGTACACGCATAGATTTTGCTTTTTCCGTATTTTAGCCTTCGTGAACCTTCAGGGACTTTCCAACTTTTATAAAGTACATGTGCAATATGACGATAATGGCCCTTGGTCACCATTCCAGTCGAGCATTTGCTTTCTATGGCGGTTCATACTGTTTATAATTGTTTTCGGTTACATATTTTGTTTTTCCTTTCATTTATGAGCCTTTTATAAAGCTGTACCACTTTTCCAAAAACTTTTTCTTCCTATAAGGCCATTTCCTACTCTTTCTTATTGCACACGCTTAGATGTTTTGGTTTATGCATATATTACTCCTTAATAAACCTTTCTCGTTTTCTAACTTGAATAGCGTACAAGTGCAAAATCTTTGATTTCCGTTGGGACTTGGAAATATCAGAGGAATAATAAAACATGGTACTAGGGGTGCGTATAGAGTAGTGGTTGGAGGTGCACCAGTCCGTTGGCTTGATCCCATGCCCAAAACTCATGAAGCCCTCCATCGCTCAAGGGTCGCCTATTTCGCAACCGACTTGTTTGGGAACGCAGCAGCACTGAATGGATACATTGGTAGGCCACCTCGAGTCAATGTTCAATGTATAGGCCAGATATACATTCAGTTACCTCTAACGGTGCTTAATGAAGTCGAATGCATGACGTATCTCTGAGGGATTAATCAAAACCGAGGGCTTTATCCTTCTATGCTTTTATGGTGTAATACGTCTAAGCTCTGAGGATGGCGAAATCGCCAAACCGTAGGCCGTCATAGGTGTCCAATTGATCCACCACTGAACTGATACAAATAGTGGCGCAACGGTCACTGCTATATTTACAAAATCAGTCGCAGCAGCTGCATAGATTAACTGCCCGACAATTGAGAAGGAAAACTCATTCTTTGTTACACGGTTCAGATATCGACCATTTCCACTTGGATTACTATTTAGGCGAGCCTTGTAATAATATATAGCATAATTCAGCCGGTTATCGATCTGCAAGCACTAGTAGTTTGTCCATGAAGTGCTACGGTACCATAGCTAGAATAACCCCTTTGTCTGGGTCGCTCACCTTGCTCTGCAACATCTTTATATTCGTGATAACTAGAATTTAACCGAGTCTCGAATGTACGGCCATTTCTATGTTTGAAATGCAAGCCTCGACAGAAAAATGGATAAAAAACGTTTCAGAGACTGGTAAATTAGTAGTTTGTAATTGTAGAATAAGAGCAGTTACAGCTTTTTAGCGAAAATCTACAGATTCTAACTGGTAGGTTAAATTAACAGGGTTCACCATGCTCAGATTCTGTTGATCTCAAGTAAAAGGTAGGGATCACTTCCGCCTTACGGGTTGAAATCAATGTGGATAATTTGTTATTTGTTAAGAAGAACTGAGATCGACAGCGTAATCAATATTTTCCTCATCATAATGTCATAACATTTTCCTCGAACAACACTTAGCAATTTACAGTAGCACTTTTTGCCAGTTTTAGAAGAGAGCAGTTCGTTTGCAATAATTGATGCTGCAATTTTCTATATCATTCACCTGAAACAAGTTCGGTATAAAACTTTTAGCCTAAAGTTTTTGAGCATTAGCCTTTTTCAGAGCCGCGTCGATCCAAGTCGATGGTCCACAGCTTGTCGTAATTGCGATGCGAGTGTTCGTTGTCGCATCGAATCGAATCTGATGGAGTGGAGCACCGCTCAAGTGGTAAAATTCACTCGGCGGTGCCCTTAACACAGGGCGACGTCGATCGTTTTCTGCCTACAATATAGCCCACTTTGGCTGGACACTGCAGCCTATAACAGTCCGCATTCCGTTTGAAGGGATTCGTTAACTCTCAAAAAATGGTTTCATAAC